AATAGCTGGGTCAAATGGTGGTTCCAATCCCAGCTTTCCCAGGAATCTCCATACTGCTTTCCAAATTGGCTGAACCAATTTGCAGTCCCACCAGCAATGTACAAGTGTACCCTTTCCCCCACATCCTTGCCACACTTGTTATTGTTTGATTTCATAATGGCTGCCATTCTTACTGGAGTGAGATGGTATCTTAGAGTGGTTTTAATTTGCATTTCTCTGATTGCTAGAGATGGTGAGCATTTTTTCGTATATTTGTTGTTTCTGAGAAGTGTCTGTTCAGATTCTTGGCCCATTTGTTCATTGGGTTATTTGTTTTCTTGTTGTTTAATTTTGTGAGTTCTTTGTATACTCTGAAGATTAGAGCTCTACCTGAAGTGTGAGTGGTAAATATTTGTTCCCAGGATGTAGGCTTCAGGGCACCTTTTTAAATTTCCACCAAGCCCTGGTTCGTGCTTGCTCAAGAGCTCTTCATATGCACTGAGAAGCCTCTGCCAGCGCCATGAACAGAAAACATGAAGCTTGTGAATGTTGCTTTGCAGAAGGCATCAGCCAAAAGGGACCCTGCCCTCCCCCCAGGGTTGGGAACAGACACCAGACAACAGGATAGTCCAGAGAGGTAGAGGGTGGGGAGAGGGCCAGGCCTGGAGTAGGAACAGAGACTCTTTCTGACCTAATGTCAACCAGCTAGTAAGTCCTTGCTCAACTCCTTTACTAAAAGGGGGTGGGGAACTGCACCTCTTGAGGGACTCCTCCACTCTGACCTTCTATAATGCTTCCACCATTATGACTACTCCATTCCTTCCACCACCCTAATATACTTGGACCTTGGTGCTCTGCTAGAAAATTAATTTATTGATTGCTAATTAGCAATTAAAAAATTGTATGAGGACAAAAGCAGAATTAAGAACAGGAAAAGATAAATACTTGCCTGGAGAGCCCTGTTGCCTGGGGGAAAGACCTGGATGATGCAAAACTGGGGGTGTGCGTGCATGTGTGGCACGTGTGGCCATGTGTATGTGTGTGATAGTGGTATAATGCATGCATGCGTGTATGTCTATGGTGTGTGCACGTGTGTGTGGTGTTGTGTGTGCATACAGGTGTGTGTGTTTGGGTAGATGTACAGGGTGCCTGAGCGTGTGCTAAAGGCCACTGCCTGTTGAGTGGACAGGCACAGAAGGGGCTGGCAAACTAGGCCCCTCCTCAGGCCCATAATTGCTTTACTTATGCCAGGCTGGTCTGCTGCAGGTAGAAAAGACCCATCTCTCACAGCAGGTATAGCCACGGAAGCATCCACCGAAGATCACCCACCACAGGGAGGTCCAGCCCTCAGCCTTGTGCACCAAGGGTGGCAGGGCCAGGCCCCACATTGAGGTCCCTGTACCTTCTAGGCTGTGAGCTCAGACTGGGAGTAAACAGTCTTCCTTAGGTTGGTGAAGAGCCCTGCCAGGTGGCCCTATGGCGGGCCTGGGACAGGCGTCTGCGGGCTACACGCGGTTCGAGCTCCTGCAGCTGTGCCAGTGGCCTGGGTGTCGCTGTGCCACTGAGGTGGCTGCCCTTCTCCAGAGGTTGCCATTATAAGCTGTAACATAATATTATGCTTCTTTTTACCTGCAATAATAATGATACAACATCAAGTGCTGAGAGCTATAGCCAAGTAGGAATGATGCATGGCATTTTTGGTTGAAAGGTGACCCCAGCAAGCCATTGAGATGATAATGATTATGTTAAGTTGTGCCTTCGATTGGAGATTAGACCCCTGCTGTCTGCCTCAGCCTGCTACTTTGGAGCTCTCTCAGGACCCCCAGGGAGTTCCCATTGGTTGGGGAAGTGCGGTAGGAGGGAATTCTGGAGGAGGTATTTCCTGTTGGTGTAGTGTGTCTCGGGAGAAGGCCATGTGCATGGCTTTCATGGGAGTTTTGGAAATAAAGTTTGTTCCTGCTTAAGTGGCTAGTGATTTTGTGCCCAGCCAGACTGCGGCAATCAAGGACAAAGGGAAGGCAGACTGGCAGAAAGAGGTATCTCTCAAGTAAAAGTCCCCGAGTGTTATATCAGACACAAAATAAATTAAGATGACACAAAATGTGTTACTGATGCTCGGCTCCCCAAGGCACCTATGTTAGATTTCAAGGTGAGAGGTGATGGAGCTTACCCCATGAAGGTTCTAGCACACTGCAGGTACTCACTAGCCATTTGTTCATCTCCATTGTCAAGGACCACAGTCAGACCTTGAGATACTGTGTCTCACAGTCTGTTCAAAGCTGAATGGGTGCATTTCCTACCCTGTGAGATCCTTGCAAACTTAAGAATGGCCCCTTTGATCTGGGTAGGGTTGCACTGGTGTACACACACACACACACACACACACACACACACACATACACACACATCCAATAAGCATCCACTCTAGATTCATGAGCCTTTCCATAGATATACTATACCTCAAAAAGAAGGAAAAGAAGAGAACACACTGATCTCCCAGAAAAGCAAAAAGTTACCTGTTACTTTATGGGGAGGTGGAAGTGGAAGCCTTGTCTTGCTTCTGGTGGGGTCGGAAGATGATCATTACGTTGGCTTGTGTCACTTCTGAGCTTGCAAACCAGGAGCCCTTCCCTAAATGAGGTGATTGTGGGACTGATCCAGAATCAGTCTGGATTAGATAGATTGTTCTAATGTCTGAATAATGTCTGTTTTAATGACAGGCAGAGATGAGGGTGTCTTGCCTGAGCCTGGCCCCTCCTATCAGAGAAGGGTGTACCCCACATACACTCAGAGGAGAGTTGCTTCCCACACCCCATGGTTCTTTGAGCAGAGAGCCCGTATCTTTACATCTGTACCCCCAGTGCCTGGTACCCACCCAGCTCCCAACAGGTGCTCAGAGTTCAGTTATGAGTGAATTAGAATGGGAAATTTCTGCTGGGTCCATTCTCTCCTGAGCTCATTCCTGCAATATAGGGACATCGAATGACTTTGGGCAGGCTTTTGCCAGTTTTCAAGTACGTCAGTCACTTGGGAAGACTGTTGAAAATATAAGAATGCTGTGATTTGAATGTTCTCTCTAAGACTCAGGTTGAAGTTTGTCATTATGACAGTATTAAGAGGTGGAACCTTTTAGCAGTGAGTGGGCCATGAGGGATCTCCCCTCACAAATGGATTAATTTTAGCTCTGGAGTGGGTTATCATAGGAATGGGCTCCTGATGAAAAGATGAGTTCTGTCCCCTACTATCCTCTCTTTCTCACTTTCATGCTCCTGTACTCTCGTGCTTCCTCACCACAAGGCAATCTTTTGCCATAAGACACATTTTGCCATGTCATGCTTCAGGAAGAAGTCCTTTACTACATATGGCTTCCTGATTCTGAATTTCCCAGCCTCCAGAACCCTGAGAAGAATAAACTTCTATTGTTTCTAATTCACCCACTCTGGTGTTTTGTTACAGCAGCAGAACATGGACTAAGAAAACACACAAAATGGGAAGGTGGTGGGAAACCCTACTCTAGGTAAATGAAAGTATAAAATTAACAGAGTCCTCCTAGGACTTCAAATTCTCTAACAGTCATCAAATATTAATACCAAATCCCTCTGGGATATGGGGAGTCTGGAACTCTCTCCATGTCAATGATTTGAGTTTCCTTTAAGACATCTTCTAAAACACACTCTGATATCTAGATGGCTATGGGTAGAGTCACTGGCTATGGGTACAGTCACTGGATATGGGTACAGTCTTCAGCCTCCAGCCACCTACAAGAGGGGGCTTGCTTCTGGGGACCTTCCCTACCAACCTTAAGGGGTGGGAACAGTGCCAGCACATCTTGGCCACCTGCCTGGAGCTGAGGCAGTCATCTCCCTCCACCTAGTCAGGAGCCTGGAAAAATTTTCCCTTTGGGTTGGGGTGCCGTGACACTTTAAGAAAGCTAGAAACAGAGCCTCCCCTCTGCTTGAAGGGGAGAGTGAAGCCCAACAGATATTAAACTTAAGTGGAACGTGTGTAATTTTCTATATCCTTCCCATAAATGCTGTTCCTCCTGTTCACCACGCAGTGATGTTGCTATGATTCCAAAAGGCATTCTTTCCCAGTTATCTTTATTGGCTTGGAATTTGGTTTTCTGTGGCCCCAATAGGGGCACTGGTTAATAGTTTTCAGTAAGCTTTTTGTTGCAATAATACATTTAGATCTGTTCGGTTAGCACCTAATATTGGTGCAAAGGGCTGGCTGGCCTGGGACAAGTGCCACAGAAGTCATTGTCTCGAATGGGGGAGGGGAGACAGGAGTCTCCTCTGCCTTATTCTAAATTTAGGGATTTTTATTCTTTTTATTTTGTGGTACTAGGGATTTAATCCAGAGGCAATCTGAGAGTTACATTCCTAGCCTTATTTTTTAATTTTATTTTGAAGCAGGGTCTCACAAAATTTTGCTGATGCTGGTCTCAATCTCACAATCTTCCTGCTTCAGCTTTCTGAGTCTCTGGGATTACAGGTATGTACCACTGCACAGAGCCAAAGTTAGCTCTTTTCCTTAGGAAGGGGGAATGGAACATCTTGTGAAATGGGGCCCATGTGTAGTGTAAAATGAGATTACGAAGTGATCTTTTTTTAATTATTATTTTTAATACTTTTGTTTTATTTATTTATTATTATGTGGTGCTGAGGATCAAACCCAGGGCCTCGCACATACTAGGTGAGTGCTCTTCCACTGAGCCACAATCCCAGCCCAAGAAGTGATCTTTTATTTAAAATAAAACACCTTTTTTTTTTTTAAAAAAAAATCAAAACCCTCTATGGACAAAAGTGTATTAAGAAAACAGCTCCCAGCAGTGCAAGGAATTAGAGCAGTGTAGAGTGTACTGCCTGCAGCTCCACTTCCAGGGCTATGAGTCCGCATTTTAATATCCTTGAAAACTCAGAATCTCCCAAGTTTCCCTTCCTCTCACTTTGTTTTTTAAAAGGATACACTTTTGGTCTTCTGTCTATTAACCTCCATACAGTTCCCACTGCTCTTCCTGTTATCTATAGTGCCACCTTCTCTGCCCCTACCCCCAGTTTCCTCCTATCTAGAGCTAATGTGTCTTTAAAGTTCCCCTGGAACTTAAAGAAGCATCTCATCCCCAGGCCACACTAGTTTCTAACCTAATCTTGTTTTCCCACAGGTCAGTAAAATCCTTGGTCAGGACTCATGTACCAAGTGATGATGGTGTCCTTCCCTTGATACAGAATGGTTCATCACACACTCCCTTTCCTGGTAGCTTCTCCCAGACCTAACCTGCTAAGAGTTCTATTGCCTGGCCCATGAGGAGAAACTCTTCCAGGCATGGGAAGGAGCAGAGATTCTGAGTTGAAATAAGCTGAAGGAAATGAAGATTAAGAGAAAAAATTGATAGAGGGGAAGTAACATTTTAGTTCTACCCTAACTCTAAAGACCTCTCTGGATCCCAAGTGTTCACTGTCACATGAATTAAGTTCTTGGCAAGATTCACAGTGGGAGCATTTGAAAAGCTTTAAAAAGCCCCTTTCAAGGTGGCATTGACGAATTCCTTTATAAGAAAGGTGGAGAGGTTATACAGGGGCAAGAACCTGGATATCACATTCTTAATCAGCAAAGTGGGATTGTTGGATGTTGAGAGCCACAGCCGAAGGGGCCCCAGTAAACTTCCAGCTGCCAGCAAGCTTCCAGCTGCCAGTTGATGATTGGCTCACAGCTTCCCCAGCAAACTTTCAGCTGCCAGCTGATGATTGGCTCACAGCTTCCCCAGCAAACTTCTAGCTGCCAGCTGATTGGCTCCTCTGTAGTGATGCTCATTGGGCTGTTTCCCGCCCTTTAAGACCATGGAGCTGCTCACTGGTGGACTTTTTTTGGCTCCGCCCATGCGAGCCAGCCAATCAGCCTCAAGAGCAGGAGGAGTGGGGGAGTGGAGAAGCTTGTGGGAAGCCAGTGGTGGCAGTTGGGCTCTGAGGGAATTCCTGAAGAGCTCGTGTGGTGTGACGTGTGTGTTCTAAAAATAAAGTTTGTTTCTGCTTGATAAGTGGCTCCTGAATTGTGCCCAGACAGACTGCGGCATTTGGTGGCCCGCATGGGGAACAACTGAGGGTAAGTGATAAGGTAAACTGCTCGCCCCTGAGGGCAGAGTGAGAGGATGGGTAGCCATTTTAAGATACTTCTTTTTTTTGTTTCACTTTTGTTTTAAGTTGCCTGTCCCTGGAGATGAGTGAGACAGAAGAAAAACCGCTCACATCTGAGGAAAAACTATTTGCATCTGAGAAACAGATAGGGAGAAAGGACGGATGGACATTTCAGGAAGATAGGAAGGCTATTATAATGATTTTTTTAATTCTTTTTTTTATTGTTGGTTGTTCAAAACATTACATAGTTCTTGATATATCTTATTTCAGACTTTGATTAAAGTGGGTTATGAACTCCCATTTTTACCCCATTTAAAGATTGCAGAATCACATCAGTTACACTTCCATTGATTTACATATTGCCATACTCGTGTCTGTTGTATTCTACTGCCTTTCCTATCCTCTACTATTCCCCCTCCCCTCCCCTCCCCTCTTCTGTCTTTACCTCATCTACTGTAATTCATTTTTCCCCCTTGTATTATTTTTCCCTTTCTCTCACTTTCTCTTGTATGTAATTTTGTATAACCCTGAGGGTCTCCTTCCATTTCCATGCAATTTCCCTTCTCTCTCCCTTTCCCTCCCACCTCTCATCCCTGTTTCATGTTAATCTT